TAAAAAGAATGCGATAAGCAAGAGTATTAGAAATATAAAAGGACAATGAAAAAGAATAAGATAAGTGGAAGAAAACGGACAGGGTGTGGGTGTGGGTGTGGGTGTGGGTATGGGTGTGGGTGTGGCTGTGGATGTGGGTGTGAATGTAGTTGTGTACGGGCGTTACTGTATGTATCATATTTATTTGTGATTAACATCCACACCCAAGACACAAAACGTGTTTCGTTTCTATCTTTTATCTTTGTCCTTTCTCTACCTAGTCTAATCTCACCTTTCACTCATTCATCAATATTACTATATGTAACTTCTGTTTATAAAATTGTAGTTTATTCGTAATTAAGTTATAAAACAAAAATGAATGTTTCTTATTCATGATGATTCACTAGAAATTCTATGTAAAAGTGTAAACTATTGGTCTCTATTTGATTGAATAATGAAAGAGTCCATTGTAACTTGAACTATTTTTTTTATCAGGAAATTTGACATACATAGTTATTTCTCGCTGTGGAATTGTAATTTGTCTCTTGAAGATGCCATCTTTTAAAATATCTTCTGAAAGCCACTTTCCATCGAGCTGAAGTCGAGCACAATAAGCATTTGGTATGCGACAGTGAATGGTCGTTATCGAACCAGATTTGAGTGCACCGTCAAGAGGTTCAAAAATTTGACATTTACACTGTGTATATAATCCGTAAGTTAATGGAAAAGGCTTTATTTTGACAACATCACTTGGTACATGTAAACTGAATTCAATTGCACAAGAATATTTGTTCTCAGTATTTTTACTTTTTATTGTTTCTATCTCTCGACGAGTAAATATTGTCAATGTATGAGAACCACTACGTTTTGGTGCAAAGAGACATTGCCATAGTTGGCGATCAGTATCATATTGAATAAGACTACTAGTCTCAATTTTTCCGGATCCTGATTCTTTGATGTCGCCCATCAAAGTCACATCAGATGGAGCTCGCACAAGCACTTCAGAAAGTCCATGATTCAAGTTAAAAAACGCCGTGTTAGAGTGACGTGGAGAAACGATATCCAGATTATGCTCAAAAAATGCTGGATGAACATAAGGCATGTGAATAAAGTCATCCATCGATATAGAGGATATCAATAGTTGCCATTGAGAATCTTCAGGTAAATGTCTATAGATCATCTGCTCAGGAGGAACTAGAAAGTAGAATGAATTTAATTCCTTTTGATTTTGATTATTACTATCCAAGTGTCCTGCGCCCCATGTCGAATCGACGAGATACCAATGTCCTTCTAAACGTAGAACATTCCAAGCATGATTCGTTCGGGTAAATGATTTTTGTCCCATTTTAAAACTATATCCTTTAGCGTAACCACTAATCTTCTTGCACTCAATCTGAACTGCTGTGCAGAGAGTTTCGAAAATAGTTCCAAATGCATCACAAACTCCTTTGCGACTTGCAAAGATATCAGCCGCTGTTTGATGGTGAATATTTCCACTAAAGTAAGCTTCTACGTCATATTCGATATTTTGTGAAACCCAATAAAAAACAATCCAAGCACGATCGATCAAATTCTTGCCTGATGATAATTCATTGATGAGTTTGGCAACATCATGAAGACCCTTTGCTTTCCAGCTG